TTGGATTCTTTTTCATTCCATATTGACATTGTGCTTGAATTTGCTATGCTCCATTTTACTGTCACATATTCTCAGATTCCTTATTTTCAGCCTGTATTATTTAAGGTGTATGATAATCACTATATATTTACATGATTAAACCAGTTCATTATATATAAACACAAACAACACATAACTATATTAAGTGTTTGATAATTTCCAGTTTATTAATAATAACTGTGTGAAAAACAACAATGTGAAAATGTTACTTTCAGTCAATCAACTTCTCACATGATATTTTAACCTCCATGGAAAGTATATATAATTACAGATCATGTGCCAAATTCCATGTTAGAAGCAGGCAGTTGCATTTATATTAGATAGCAATTTATTTCCAAACAAATCAAAATCACAGTGATGTGATCAATACTTAATTCTTTCCCATCTGTTGCACATGCAAATATGTCTGTTAGATTCTTGATGGACATGAGGTGACTGTAAATAAACAATCACACAAACACTGTAATGTGAATACAAGGGTAGAAGGAGACAGCTATAATTATAAAGGAAACTCAGTGTCACATGAGACAGTAAAATCAAAATAATTGTAGTGATGATAGCTGTCTGACTCAAAATGTTAAAATTTGATGATTTCTTTAATATTAGGATAGTTTCCTAAATTCCACATACACCAGGAGGTTAAACACATTGTGTGTGTATGCGTGTGTGTGTGTGTGTGTGTGTGTGTGTGTGTGTGTGTGTGTGTGTGTGTGTGTGTGTGTGTGTGTGTGTGTGTGTGTGTGTGTGTGTGTGTGTGTGTGTGCACGTGCATGTGTACGCGTGTGTATACGTATGCGTGTGTGTGCGCATGCAAGAGTGTGTATGCAATTAAGAAAATTTAAATGTGTTGAAGATACAAGTTGTAAATACATGATTTTGCATCTTCTGTAAGACCCACTATCAAGATTTTTTCCTTACAAGCAAACAGCATATTGCTATAGCAAACCTAATGTGTTATTTTTTAAGTCTCTATGGAAAACTGTTTCTACATTCTTTTCCTAAACTTTCTTGTTAATTATAATAAATAAGCATGTTCTTGTTATTAAATGGATTATTTTCAAGTAAATCTCTTTCTCACAAATAAATAAGTTAAATAATGAAATAACAATAATGATAAAACTGATAATAGTAGTAATCATCATTATCATTGTCATCTTCAATTTTATTATGATAATGATGATAACTACTATTATTAATTTTGTCATTATTGTTATGAACCCCACAAATCTCTTGCTTGTTATGGGGGAGCTTAGGGAAGGTAGACAGGCCCAATGCAGGGGACCTTCCCCAACCCTGGACCTCGGCCCTTGCCTCAACTAATTTTGGATGGTCTTTTCTTCTCCCCCTTCCTTTTCTTTCTCTTTTTCATCCCATTCTTCTGTCTGCTTTTCCTAATTCTTAATTAATTTTTACCCTTTTCACCCCAATACTTTACCATAGTGCCATAGGACCTGTGATGTCTAGTACATATATTTATCATAACCATTAACCACCATTACTGTTATGATCATATTTATAATAATAATGATGATGATGATTGCAATAATAAATATTATATCAACAATAACAATGACAACAAAACAACAATAATAATTGTTATTATCAACACTCATTATAATTACTGTTACCATTAAAATAATAATAACAATAATAATGAGAACATCACTAATTATAATGAAAATAATAGTATGACGATGGAAAACTTTTCCTCCTGAGTCAGAAATGGCTGCTGTGTATTTTCATTCTATTCTTGTGATTAATCATACATATTCATCTTACATAGAAAAGTAAAAAAAATCGTAGTTCATATCATTTATTTCAATTTTTGTTACATTTATCCTCCTCCAGAAATTAAATGACAGTTCTTCAACAATCACACTATATTCTTCACTTTCCAACTAGAAAACCTAAATGATAAATTCTAAAGTCTCTATTAGCAAAAAGAAAAAAATAAATCCTGTGTAATGTTATTCAATTCATCTGCAAATTATAAATTCAGAATGAAAACACATACACAAAATTACTTTAACCCACAGGATGTGGATAGTATAATTACATGCCACTGTAATTTTAGTTTTACCAATAGTCTTTACACGAAAATGGCTCTAAAAGTGCTTAGTCAAATACTAGTCCTACATGTTTGCACTTTTCCTTGATTTCCAGAAAGATTCTTTTATATTGTTTCACCAGTTTTATTGCTCTTAGTATTTTAATAACATTATAATAATCATAATGTCAATTACAATAATAACAGTATCAATACTAATAAAAAATAAAAAAAAAACATTTCCCCACAAATTCAGTCACACAGTCACTAGGGCCTATTAACTGACTCCTAGGTGGCTGAGTAATTGTAGAGCCAACTATGCGCAACAAAATTCACAAAAGACTACGGTGGGCAGCACATAACCCAACAGCCATTGGGTTGATAATACAAGGGATTCAAGAAAAGCTATAACTACAGTATTCGTCTCACAAAAAATAAGACAATTTACATATCACAAATGTAAACAAAAACACCACAGCAATCATCATAAGAAATAAAAAAAGGAAGACATTAATGAACAAAAGCTGAAAAACATTACTTTTTCACTCTGATACAACCTTTAACCCACTTGTGTCTATCTAAACCTGAAGACCGGTATCATTCCATGAGCATGCCATTTTGACATTTCACAAATTCTGTAGCATTTTGTGATGCTCTAATATAGCATTTACTTAATTCAAACTTCAATACTGTTTCATCCTTGTATGGGGACTTCACGTAGACCGTGCTAATACTTTTTCCATACCTGCATAAACTATTTTAAATTCTACCTCTTCAATAGAAAAAACAAAAAACTAAACTACACTAAATTAAACAAAACGCACATGCACACTTTCAAACACACGCACACACGCACACACGCACGCTCGCTCACTCTCTCACTCACCCTCTCACTCTCACTCTCACTCTCACTCTCACTCTCACTCTCACTCACTCACTCTCTCTCTCTCTCTCTCTCATTCACTCACTCACTCACTCACTCACTCACTATCACACACACACACACACACACACACACACACACACACACACACACACACACACACACACACACACACACACACACACACACACACACACACACACACACAAAAGCCATATTGCATTATCAGAATATATTTAAGGCTTAAATAAATGTGATTTTACATTTTTTAATCAAATAGCAAAGCTATAAATCTATTTCATGTTGAAGTTCATTAGTCCACAACTGGTTGGTTTGGCAAGTTGCATGGTTAAGGACAGTGATTTGAATCTGACACTCCATGACCACTACATGATTCATAAACTAACATTCATTACCAAAAAGCAATGTTTGGGGTTAAGATACTTACAGGCAGATTTCGACCAGCTGCAGCACCAACACTGCCCCATTTTGCTTGCTTTTACCACAGCTTATGTGAAGATATCCAGTCAGACTGAACTAGTTCTATGCCTATGTAAGCTGCATGTCTGTATCCGTATTAGAGAACAATGTATACATTTTTTTTTTACTTATCTTTTTAGCCTAAACTTCACTGGTTTAAAAAAATATGTTACCCCTGCACCTGTCTGGTCCCAAACTTGCCCTTCCTATGGCCTAACTAACATTGAATCTGGATATCTATTTTATCATATCAGTCCATCAGAGTAACAAAATTCCCAGAGATATAGATACTTTGGCTTTTGCTAGAGGATTCTTAAGAAGCTAAATTAGCATGACTTAAATGAACTTACGTAAAATAAGAGTAAATAATACACCAAACATAATTTAGCACCTTGTTACAGCCATAACACTGGTCTCTATGATGTAACTATACTTTTGTTTCTTCACTTTCAGTTATTCAAAGATTTTATCTTTGCTATTTTCCTTGTTCTGTGTTATATTTTCAATATTAACAAGACACCTATAGCAAGGTTTAGTAATACATCATCCTGTAAGTTAAGGTCATGATAAAATCTAGAGAAAAATAACAAATAAACTACAAAACAAAACATAAACTGACCAAAGCATTACACTTTTCAATTAAGAATATAATACATGCACCTCCTATTATATCAAATACTATAATATAGTTTTACACATAAAAAACACTGAATGTCTTCAGCTAATCTTTTGTTCTATTGCCTTTAGTTGAACAAATTCTTGGCTTGGCACAAAATTCCTTCCATAGACTACAACTCAAAATATTTTTCCATTTGCACTCAAACATAATATTCTTGACAATGCTTAAGCAGTACCTTCAAAGAAAATTCCCATGATCACATATATAATGCCCTTTCCATAGACCTTTCCCTTCCTACAAATAAGCTTTCATAGTGAGCTACTAACTGAAAACCATATCTAAAATGATAGGGTTTAATAAACATCAGAACTCTGAATCATGAAAAAATTACCAAAACATAGGAGGTTTTTCATCCACTGCTACATATCAAAGGAATACACATTAGTATAGACTTAATCTATCTGCTTCATTAAATGATGCAGTTGGTCTATTCACAGATGAGTACTATGGATTTTATTGTATTTAAGCCACTGTTTCCATTCACAATATCCCTAAAAGTAGTACAGTCTCATTGTACATAACTTACTATTCTATATATCAAAGGTTATCCAAGCTATCAAGTAGAGTAATAATGCTAATATCTTAAACTAGAACATCATCTCCCCTCATAGTGTAATAAGTGATGGTTCAAAATGAGCATGGTACATATAAAAAGAATACATAACTTTTGAGACCATATTGATAATTGTCCTAACTATAATTGCAGACTGTATTCTTTAGTTTCATCTTAAAATTTTACTTGACTATACTAATTTCACAGACAAATTTGAGTGTCACCAATGTCTTAAAGTATAATGTAAATTTGATAAATTAATTTCAAATACAATATATAATATTCATTTGACCATATTCCTGCATAAGAAAATAATGGCAAAACCTCATTCTCAAAAAAGAAAAATCAACAGATAAAGATTACCTGAGAATCCTGAAATAAAATTTGAACATACAAAATATACATATAAAATTAATATAAAAACTATCGACCATATCAATGTACAGTAACATAAAGCATCTCTCACTAACCAAATTCATTCCAGCAGTTATAAAGAACCTCATGAAACAGGAATAAAAGTCGCACTAAACACCTCACCTGTAACTGCTCTACACTGCTGCACTACAAATTATGTAGGGCTGAGCTTAGCCAGGGGGTCTAAGACAGCAATAAGCCCGGCAAATGAAGAGATGCTTCCAAGGAGCCCCACAACACCTGGTGAGAACTTGGTGTGACCTAGGCTGGTCAGTGGAATCCAGATGTCACAAATATTCTTGATGCTGTCCCAGAACACATCACGGTGCTCTTCGGCAAACTGCACGATAGGTCTTGAAGCCGGGACACACTCGTAGAAGGTCTTGATAACAGGGATGTTCTTGTAGATGCAAGGCTGGAGGTCCTGGCACTTCAGCCGCTTCTTCATGATGGTTATGATCTCATAAACATCCCTAATCATATTGAGAATAATTGCACCTAACCAGAATCTGTTTGAATAGCTAGACCATTTCTCCTTGTTGATGTCGAACAAGCCCACACGGCCAATCCAGATAATGTGGTCCACCAGAAGGAAGAGGGACTGGTAGATTCTAGACAGTGTTAGTGTAACACGTAGAACAACATCTGGGAGATGCAATGTACGAAGGGCACCATACAGGACCTCTATGCTTTTTCCCAGACGCAATACTGCAATGATAAGGATGCCTTTATTCATCTGTCAAAAATGGTTCTAGTATTTGTGTACAATATACAATATTCTTTTTCATTCTTATCAGATCATTTAATTAAACATTATTATATCAGATCATTTAATCAAACTTTACTATATCAGATCATTTGAGTTATCATTAGCATTTCATCTATTTCATCCCAAAAAAGCTACTTGCTAATGGGTATATTTTTGACACATCTATAACAGAAGAAAACATGTCTTGGCCAGTCAAAATAGCAATGGCAAAGAACAAAAATACTGGATAGTATGTTGGTTAAAGGGGACCACAAGTGACCATGTAAAGTCAAAGGTTACAAGTCCTTCTGATATTTTTACTTTGGGGTCCAAAGACACACTGACTCAGCCCTTGGGCATTGATAGCGGGTACTGACAACAGGTAAAGGAAGTTATATAAAGTTTGAGTATTCAATGAATGCTTTCTGATAGCTTATTTCCCATCCAGATAATCAACCCAATGCCTGAAAAACTGCTATATACAATCAATTATTTTACTGACCTAAGCTTCATCAATGTGGCCCTAATGCAAAAGAAGCTGTCCTTTAAGGATTAATCAATTTTCTGTTTCTTTACTCATTGAATTATAAATATCTGTTCTACAGCAATCCTTATTAAAAAAAAACAAAAAAAAACATTAAAAACTTTACAAAAAAGACTTAATTACTTATAATGTCCTAGCAGATCATTATATTCTGCTGAAAAAAGTAACATAATTTACAATCTGATTCATTATAACATTCATTATCTCTAATATCACAAATTTATAGATTATGCATACTCACATTTCCTGAAGGTTGAGAATGCATTCTCTATGATCTTCAATCGAGCCACAGCATCGCGCAGATTCTTCCTGCTTTCTAGATTGTGCCAGACGACTCGACTCAAGTACTGCAGTAATCTGGGAATAGTGATAAAAATTTTTATTTATTTTTCATTCTTCATTTTTCCACAAGTCAGAAATCTATATCAATATTTTTTTTAATAACCAGAAACTTTCATTATGAAAGTTATTGTGCAGTTTTTAGTTGTTGTTTTTTAAGTTAATAATCTGCATCAACATTCTATTATAAAAGTTACCATTATTGAAAAGCAATCAGCTACAGTGTTTCTTTGTACACGTAGTAAATCTTTATTAACATTCTTTTAAGAAACATACATGTTAAAATCAGTCAATTAAATCTACTTTAATCCAAAGCAATATAACTCTTTATTTACGCAAATCAAGTTGAAAAGAACAACATGACGCATTATATGTGATTTTTCTCCCCTATAAGAACAAAAACCTCATTTCTTTTCAACCCACACCTTCTGTAAGCCATAATAAGAAAAATACACTCCATGAACATGCTTCTGTAAGCCATTAAACCTGCATCTTTATTACCTGAATATCTTGTCCTTCCCAGCTGTGTTTGCATTTAACCTGATCCACTGGTCCATCTTTCTGAAATGCCACAACAGAAAAAAAATTATTCTTATGCATCATCAACAGATATGTATTAAAGGCAATTTTTTATTTTTATTTTGCGTGTGCGTGTGTGCCTGCGTGTGCTAGTGTGTATGTGATATCACTATATCTGGTGACCTATACTTAAACAACATTGAGTGTGTGAGTGTGAGTGTGTGTGTGTGTGTGTGTGTGTGTGTGTGTGTGTGTGTGTGTGTGTGTGTGTGTGTGTGTGTATGTGTGTGTGTGTGTGTGTGTGTGTGTGTGTGTGTGTGTGTGTGTGTGTGTGTGTGTGTGTGTGTGTGTGTGTGTGTGTGTGTGTGTGTGTGTGTATGTGTGTGTGTGTGTGTGTGTGTGTGTGTGTGTGTGTGTGTATGTGTATGTGTATGTGTATGTGTATGTGTATGTGTATGTGTATGTGTATGTGTATGTGTATGTGTATGTTTGTATGTTTGTATGTGTATGTTTGTATGGATTATGGATTATGGATTATGGATGTGTATATGTATGTATGTATGGATGGATGGATGGATGGATGGATGGATGGATGGATGGATGGATGGATGGATGGATGGATGGATGGATGGATGGATATATGTATGTATTGACATATGTATGTATCTACATATGTATGTTTGTATGTATGCATATATGTATTACATATGTATGTTTGTATGTATGCATATATGTATTTCGTATGTATGTATGTATGTATGTATGTATGTATGTATGTATGTATGTATGTATGTATGTATGTATGTATGTATGTATGTATGTATGTATGTATGTATATTCTGCAAAGCCTATGATCCATACATGTATGCTCTGGAATGCAAAGGATCCTCTGCATATTCATATCAGGAAGGAGCCCATGACCGACATTCAGGGACAAATTCGAAAGAGAATGAGTTGTACATTCTCTATTACAACCTATGCTCCATCCTGCCATAAACACACTGAGGATTCTTTGCATTCCAGGGTGGCAGTTGGGAGGCAGCCCTCTGTATTAGATAATTTAGTATTGTAAATATTCAGAGTAACTACTGTGAGTGCAGTGCAATAATTCATCCTGCCAGATATACATGGAGGATTCTTTGTTTTCCAGAGCAGGTGTTTAGGGCCAGCAGCTTCCCAGAGATGATGTAGGGTGGTCACAAAATAATTAATTAAAATAATTTAGTTTGATTCCATTTGTTACAATGGATATTCTTGGTGTGACATACTGTCTGTTTTATTTTGCTTCTAAATTATCCCCTGTGTGCAAGGAATGGCCGGGGTTACCATCCACTGGTGGCAAGGGATTCGAACGCAGGTCAGCAAGATTGCTAGACGAGATCGCTACCGCTGCACCACACAGCACAATGGGCAGAGACCCTTGCCTTAGATATTGTAGTATCTCATATGCACCTGTACCACTCATTTTTTTTTCCTATCTTACTCAGCAATTTCCCTAGTAACCTTCATGCCCTCCCATACTATTAGGATTACGTTTGTAATGTATGGGGTGGTTTCAATTATATATTGTAGGAGTGGGTGAGAGGAATCCATCATTATCAGTATTGAACTTCTGAATGATATCAAAGGATTTGCAAACTAGCTGGTAACCTACATCCCCTCCCCTACTACAGGGACCAAGTTTGTGGGATATGGAGGGGGGGGGGGGGGGTCGGCTACATAATTCCTAGATATATGAGTAGTAGAGGGTGACAGGAATCCTTTGGTATCAGTACAGTCATGATTAGTATTGCCATGGTAAGAATTTTCATCTATGGGATTTTATTTACAAGTTGATAATAAGAAAGTTGTGCAAATTATATTACTTTGGTATACATATGAAGGGGAATGCAATGACTATCATAAAGAAAGGGAAAAAAACTACATTTGCTGGCACGTGAAATAATTTATGCAGGCAAAGCACAAAAATGTCAAAAATGAAGAAAATATTTTGACAGACGGAGAGTAAGTCCAAGGTGATCTGGTGAGGGTCCTAGGAAATGTTGAGATTGAATAGGGGTCTGGGGACAAAGCCTCTAGGTTAGGAAGGTTTTTGGATCATAGTGCAATGTTTGTGGATTCACAGGAGTGCCTGAAGTAATAGGGACTTTTCTCAGAGGGTCCATCACTTTGTAAACAGTTACCAATACCTCCATATACATAATTTGTGAACAACAGATACATGCATGTTAGAATGCGAATATCTACACAATGGCAGTGTGAAAATGAATAATTATCCTGCTTTTTCTTCTTTCTTAATTATCTAAGAGTTTAATAGTGCAAACGTAAGTTCTTAAAATCATGATGAAAAGGGTCATACTTTGCAGTTGCAGGTTATTTAAAATACATTTACAAGCGGCTGTAGTAAAGCATCAAATGAATATAATCACACTATAGGTCTTCATGAATATTGCAAAAAATTACCATTACCTTTATTCGACGTAATTCGACAGACTGCCATATCACTAAACATTAACAAATAAAACAAAAACTCCAATCATCCATGGTTGCACGAAGAAACACCCAAAAATTTAGTCAAATTTGAAAAAAACTATTCATATTTCTTACGAATTCCTCATTAAAAAATCATCCCAGATATCCCATCTATCTAAAAACACCCCCAATTAACTATGGCAAAGAAAACAAACCCTTTAAATTACCATAAATAGGGAACTTTCAGAGTACTTTTCCGCCGCTCGACTCACTAATGTTTTTGTTTATCAGCTGATCCAAAACCTCCTCCGAGACGTTTTGCCGAGAGCCAATCAAAATCGGTCTTTCAAAGAGTGCTTGGAAATCTTGGATTCTGATTGGTCAAGGGTACACGTGCTCAAACATTCTCCTGTATCTGAGGGGATACGATTTTTATACAAGATGCTTCGTCGAGAACCAATCAAATTTATGCTTGAAAATATAGAAATTCCTATTGGTTGATATAGAGAAGATGCAAATAATAAATTTCAATTGAATTCATTGATAGACATTATTTTACAATGACCTTCAAGATATTTTTTAAGGTCCGAGATATATCATGTAGGATAAAGGCAGCAATTCAACGCATTTTTGTTTAAAGGTTGCGTAAAGAGAGAACATTTTATATTATGTAACTTCTTGTGTGATGCCCGGAGCAAAGTTTAAGAATTTTATCTTCAGAACTACAGAGATAGAGTATTTGGTCGATAAGAACATATCAATGGCCTTGGTTTAAAAAGGATATAAAATGTATCTGTTACATGTCACCATTATCATCATAATTGTCATCATCCCCACTATTATTATTATCATTGTTATCATTATTATTATTATTATTGCTATTATTATTATCATTATTATTATTATTATTATTATTATTATTATCATTATTATTATTGTTGTTGTTGTTGTTGTTGTTGTTATTATTGTTGTTGTTGCTTTGTTATTGTTATCATTATTATTATTATTATCATTATCATTATTATTATACTATCACTGTTATAAGAATCATAATAACACACGTACACACACACATACACCCATACATAGATAGATAGAGAGATGGATGTATGTGTATATATATATATACATATATATACATATATATATACATATATATATATATATATATATATATATATATATATATATATATATATATATATGTGTGTGTGTGTGTGTGTGTGTGTGTGTGTGTGTGTGTGTGTGTGTGTGTGTGTGTGTGTGTGTGTGTGTGTGTGTGTGTGCTGGGGGGATGGGGTTCAGGAATAAGTTTTGGCTTTTCAAAATGGAAAAAAAATGTCGATCGGTTTTTGATACGCCCTGTAGAATCCATGGGCTGCTCGTCTCGCTCCTGCTAAGTACCGAAGTACGTGGGCCATGCATCTGATACTTACACGCAAATATTAATCAACACTTACACGGGTTTGAAATATTAACCATCCCATATAAACATAAAGGTGTTATGATAATTTATAGAGAACCTATAACAGTAACTGAAATAGAAAATTACATGTTTAAAATATACTACTTGCCTCTAATACCACATATAATTTTTTTCGGCATTTTTCCCTGAATGACATCTTACTTTGCTGAATTTATAATACCATCTTCAGCGATAGATTCTGGTATTGAGGAAGGTTCATAATTCATTTATTTAACTAAAAACATGAACTTGAACTGTGTTTTATCACAATATTATTTGATGCAAACAATGCAGTCAAACAATCCTTTCAAACTTTTGTTCCGAAATTAGGACAATACTTGTTCCGTGAAACAAGCTGTAGTCACCCTTATAACAATATCTAGAAGAAAAAAAATATATGCTAAGCGGAAAAAAAAATTACCATATTGGATAAAACTTGTATCAATGTAACCTTGCAGTAATAAGATCATATATAAATGTGCCGTATGTTTGGAATAGTCGCATCTGTTTGGAAAAGTATCCAAAATGACTCTGGATGAAAGAATCACACAGAATTGATTACCAAGAAGAATAAGATAACTCGCCATGATGTTCCTGACCAATGGACATTCCAGCCTGGGCAATTTAGATTTTCAAAAATTAAAAATAATTCAACACTGGTCTGGATAGTTCGTCAATTACACAATATACTACATTACCAGGTATCAAATGACCTTGCAGAAAATGAGTTTATACTATGAAAAATCTACACAGCAAATCGTGAGTTTAAGTGAGAAGTTAGAAAGTACAAAACATGACTACATAATGTATTATAAATTTCAGCAAAAAATAAAAAGGGACTTTAAATGTAAAACCATATAAAGATATCAGATAAATTCAAATTACCTTGATGTGATAAACTGGGGTAGAACAGACAGGCTTTAACTGATACATCTTTGTAGTTATATTATAAGGGCAAAGACATGATAGTTTGATTTAAAGTTTTACCCAGTCAGTTTCAATCACGAATTACAGATGCACACCTTTATTGCTATTCTTATGTACTTCATTGACACTAGTTTAGGTTAATCCTTTCCCGACGGGCATGGCATGTAAGTATTGCGAGTTTACTTGTTTGATTGTTTTTGCACATAGATGGCTACACTTGTACTAAATCAGCAATGAGCCAGTTGCGAGTACTGCCCGTTCACCCTTTTCTTTAATTTACGAAAATATTTAACGTTATCTTATTTTGCTACTACTAATGTTTATAACATTATATTAATTATAATGTTTATAATAAAGATAACACCATCGATATTCATAGCACTAGTAAAAG